TTTAGTGACTTGATGTATCAGTGATAAGAAGAATTGAATAAGTCACACTGGAATATCACATTTTCAAATTATTAAATACACTGAAGCATCAGGTAGAAAACAGTAATTTAAAGTTTTTAGACTAAATAACTTTATCATGAAAAAGACTAATAAAAACAGAAGTTTCTTCCCTTTGTGTATTTCATATACCTGAAAACAATAATGAGCTTATTGCCACTTTTTTTTTGCTGAGATTCAAACACCTTAAGATTTATATGTATTTGTATAACATCTGTTTCCATTTTCATTTGTGTGAAAAATTACAACAAATTGGTATTGAAAGTAATTAAAAAGTGAATATTTATTTTCATCCTGTACATTTTAACAAGACTTAATTTTTAAGGATTTAGATTAAATCACTGGCATTATTTATTAAGTTATAAAGCATAAGATAAATTTAAGAATATAGATTACAATTAAGCAAAACTGTATCATATACCTTTGGTGTCTTGCCACTTATATTTGAATATATTTGTATTATTTCTTCCCCTTGTGTTTCGTTGTCTTCTGCTTGATCAATTTGTTTCTGGTCTCTTCCTTCCTCTGTAGGACTTATTTTCTGGGATGTTTCTACAATAATTGTTCCCAAATTTTCAGAAGTATGTGTTTCAGAATCACTAGTTTAGGAAAAAAGGGAAGGACATAAAATCCAAGAATATAAGTTGTTAAATATGCCTCTTTTAAGTTCAAGACTAAATAATATTATAGCACATATTGTAGATAAAGCTGTAAGTTTAACTAGAGCATTTACAGGTTCTCAATATTAAGAAGAAAATTTAGTTTAAATATATTTTCCAAAATTACAGAACCCCGTCAAGAGACCATATATGTTATTTAGTATCAAATGCCCACTAGTATCACTGCTATAGCACTCGCACCCAGTGTTAACTCAGGAAATACATGCTTGAACATTTCTAGGGTTGGGGCACTCGCTACTTCCTGAGCCAGGCAGAAAAAGTCTAACATTTTTAACAGAAAGTATTCCCTTAGTCTACAACAAAAACTGAATTTCTAAGGCTTTGACCCACTGATACTTTGACCCACTGATTCCAGTTCTATCCTTTTTGGCTATTTGTTATTCAATAAAATACTTATTAAACACCACCTAGATACCAGGCATTGTTCTGAGCACTAGAGACAAAAAACAGTAAATGAATAAAGGGGATGAAAATTTCTGCCATTCTAGTGGTGAAGGGAGATAGGTAATAAATAAGAATGAGTAAAACATATAGCATGTTAATAGAGAAAAACTAAAGCAAGGAAGGGAGAAGTGTTTACGTTTAGTGGAACATACAAAAGGAGCCCTGGTGGCACACTGGTTAGGCACTTGGCTGCTACATGAAAGGTTGGCAGTTCAAACCCAACAGCTGCTCCATAGGAGAAAGATGAGGCAGTCTGCTTCAGTAAAGATTTACAGCCTTGGAAACCCTATGGGACAGTTCTACTCTGTCCTACAGGGTCACTATGAGTTGGAATCAACTCGCAGCAGTGGTTCTTTGGGAACATATGAGTCAGTCTAATTCCTCTTCCAAACGGATAATCTTTCAATATTCTCCTCAAGACTTCTTTAAGAAAAAACATCCCTAGATTTTTTTAATGTCCCAATATGTATGCTTTTAAGATGCTTCACCATCGTGGTAATCCTTGCTCCAGCTTATCTTGGTTACTTCTTAGCGTGTCATGTCCAGAACTGAATTTCATAGTCCAAGTGTATTATGACAAATACTTAGTAGAACTCCTGGTAGATGCAGAGTAAAATTGTGTGAGCTTTTCTGACATATACATTGTGTTGTAGACTCATACAGAATTTAACTAACCTCCTAAAATGTTTGTACATACATCACTGCAAAGCCACATATTTCTCCCATTCTACAGTTGAACAGTTGACATTTTACAGTCAAGTAAAAAACTCTGTAGTCATCTGCAAAACTGTATCTGCCTAGTCTACTGAGATTTTGGGGGATCTTGATTTTGTTTTATAAAGTATTTTCCATTCCTTTCAACATCACATTATCCACAAATTTGATAAACATACTCTGCTGAAATTCAGATGTACTGTATTTAGTGTAATCACGTCCAAAAAAGAAATAGATTAGTCTGATGTGAATTTCCCTTGAAGAACTCATGCTGGCTTTGAGAAATCACTGCTTCCTTTAATAAATGTTCACAAACTGTTGCTTTATAATGTCCTAGAATCTTACTAAGAATTGATTTTAAAATCACCAACTATACCATCAACAGATACACAGAGAGTAGTACAGTAAGTCCCGGGTTACAAACATCCAACTTACAACTTGTACTTGCCCTTTAATGTTATGTAAATTTGCCCCCACTTTGAAATGAATTGAATCCAACCCCTACTCGGCAACAAATTCTTCATCACAATCACATTCATTGCTGCAAGTCCAGCTTTTAAATCAGAAAAGACTGGAAGCCTTTCTTTTCTTCCTGTTTAGGCTAAATAAGAACCATATGCACCTGTTCTGACTTACCTACAAATTCGAGTTAAAGACACACTTAGGAACAGATCTCTTTCATGACCCGGGGACTACCTGTATATACATAAAATGAAATACTATTCAGCCATAAACAAATGCTATGGCATGAGTGAACCTTGAAAATGGCATTCTCAGTGAAATGTCAAACAGAAAATAACAAATATTATATGATCCGATTTATATAAAATATCTAGAAGAAGAAAATGCATAGAGAGAAAAGTTTATTAGTGGTTACCAGGGGCTGAGAGGAGGAGGGAATGTAGTTATTGCTGAATGGGTATTGAGTTTCTATTTAGGGTGATGTAAAACTTTTGGAAATGAATAGTGATAATGGCAGCACAACATGATGAATGTAATTAATGCCACTGAATTGAACACTTAAAAATGGTTAAAATGGCAATCTTTTTATTACCTGTATTTTACCAAACTAAAATTAATAAACAAAACAAAATCCCCAATTATAGAATTACTCTCCTTCCTACTTTTAAATATCGGAACTTCATTATCTGTCTCCCATATTCTTGTACGACTTAGGTTCTCCTTCAAAAATCAGTAGCAATTGATCAAATCCACAAGTTATTTCGATATCCTGGAATTCAATTTGTCTGGATCAGAATACTAGAATCTACTTGCTTAGTTGTTCTATTACCATTGTTTATCTGTCTTCGCATTCTATTCCCCCTTCCTGTTTGTCTAAAACTTTGTAAATGTGAATTAATTTTCCTTAGTGGAATATTGAAGCGAAATAAAAATTGACTTATCAATATAAAAGAAATAGGTAATATCCCAGAAAAACAAAGGACCAAAATTGACTCAAGAAGTAGCAATACGTTGAATATGTCAAAAATGATAAATATAAAAATAGTAACCACAGTTAAAATATCACAATACAAAAAATGAGGAAATTGAGGCATAGACAGGTCAAATAACATGCCTATGGTCACACAGCTAGAAAATGTTAGAGGCAGGATTTGAACAAAGGCAGTCTAGGTGAAAATTCCATGTCCCTAGCCCCTACAATGTACTCTAAATAATAACAGAGTTGGAACCAGTTGTTTACAAAAGGTGGTAATGTAAGTGAATATATTCCTTTCTAAGTGAAAATGGAAGAAAGATGGAAAAGGCGTCAGGGCTAAGGCTGCAAACTTTAAAAAGGTCAAAATGGCACGATATTCCTGAAGCAAAAATTAGAGGGAAGGTTAAGGTGCATCACTCTCTTAAAATTACATGAAATTTGGAATGAGAATAAACGCACTTGTAGGGAGAAAGAGAAAGATTTCCTAAGTCCATTGGAATTAAAGACATAGAATAATAAATGTTTATGATGTGTTTGGGGAAAGTGACCAGGCACTTAAAAAAAATTTAATGATGAAAGGAGACAGAAGGAGAAATTATAATCTACTTAATAAATAAATCCCAACTTATGTGCTTTGCCCTATAAATTTCATGTTTTCTTTAAATTTGTTAGGGATACTGGAATTCTTTTTTTCTTCTATAAAGTATAAACAACTTTTTCTGATTATTACCCCTTACTGGATAAGCATATTCTTTTTAATATCATTCAAATATGGGGAATAAATATCAAGATAATAATTACATAATACCATATTCTATATAGGACTGGGTTCCATGTTTCCCAGTATCTATGTAACTTTCTTATATTTCAGACTATGAAAAGCTAAAAGAAACAGGATGTTCTGATATCCCTGAAGCTCCACTCTGGGATTTCTAACTGTTTGAGAATTCTTTGCAGTTGAATGATTCCTAAGAGTGTTCTGTCAGGCAGGAAATGTAACACTTAATCCTCACAGTGTAAAATCGAGTTTCACTCCTAAATAAATTGAATGACATTCCTATATTTTAGGAAATATTGTGTGATACATCTCCCAAAACGTGTAAACTTGTGCATATGCACTAATATGATGAAATCAGAACTGAGTAGATTACCTTTCATGTACTTAATTCAAACATACGCACTCGTACAGTGTAAACTGCACCGTTATGTTACAGAATTAAAGTGTGGTATTACCAAGTGGCTGAAACTAGAATTTCCTTAAAGATATAAAGAAATGCATAATAAGTTTTAAATGAAAAAAGATTTTATCTCCGAAGCTTTTAAGGGCAGGAAAAGGAACCTGGGAAGAGGTAACAGAGAGATAGGAATATAGATTTGTTTCTTCTTCCTTACCTTCATAAATTTGTCTTTTGAGTTTCTTAACCAGCCTGAGGACAAGGGGCCTGACTCCATGATCAAGACAGTGGTTCCCAAACTTGGCTGCACACTGGAATCAGCTAGGGAACGCCAAAAACTCCTGAAGCTTGTATCCTACCTCCAGAGATAGTGATTTAATTGGTCTGGGGTGTGGCCTGGGCTCTGTAATTTTTATAAAATCAAACCCCCCCCAAAAAAACCCATTGCTGTCGAGTCAATTATGACTCATAGTGACCCCAGAGGACAGAGTAGAACTGCTCCACAGGGTTTCCAAGGCTGTAAATCTTTACAGAGACAGATTGCTACATCCTTCTCTCAAGGAATGGCTGTTGGGTTTGAAGCGCCGACCTATCACTTAGCAGCTGAGACTTACCCAGTGCGCCACCAGGGCTCCTCTATAAAATCACAAAGTGATTCTAATAGCAGATAAGTTTGAGAATCATATTTTAAGATGATTTTCAGTTCTATGTGATTAAGAAAACTACTTAGAGACATCCCAAATGTAAAACAGAACCATTATTGGGGATTAAAAACAAACAAACCCAGAGTAAATACAATGAAATACATGCCAGTATAATAAAACAAGACAGAATTTTTAAAATTATGGCAAATTGGACAATTTGTTTTATCAATTCTGGCAACACTGAACTTCCTGGTTGTCTAGGTTTAAAAAGAGGTGTTCTATCTTCCATTTGCCTTTGTGGTTTCACTGATGTGCTTCAAGTGTGTATATGAATGTACAGCCAGGTGTAAGGGAAAGAAATAGAGATTTTTAGTATTCTCCTGTTGCTCTTCACTAGGGGTTATATAACTTCAGACCGGGAATCTGTAGAGCTATAACTTTAAAGAACTAATTTTAACCACCATTCAATTAAAGTTAGTACAATGACTTTGCATAATACATACATGAAATAATTAGGGAAGATGGTTCTTAATTTAAAGGATGTTAAACAGCTTGTAGACATCTGGTAACAAGCTGAAACGGGTCATTCAAAATTTATCTAACTAAATTAAGGGGGAAAAATGTTTCTCCTCCCAGGTCGGCATGTCACAAGATAACTAAACCGACTTAGTAAGCTTGCCTGGGAATCCTTAGCTGTCAGTGGTGAATATGCAAAGGGCCAGCAAATTAAATCAACCTGCCAAACTGTCAATTTCAAGCCTCATGACTGCATGAAAATAGCATCACTGGAAGAAATCAAGCATTGCCTTCTTTTGGGTTTCCTGGCACCTATTCAAATACTCATGCAGTTGTGGCTAATTTTGCATGCAAATTTCAGTCAATAAGCTCAGAACAAGACCTCCCAAGGTATTTCAAAGGATCTGACAGTATTTTTTCTGAATACCAAATCGACAGTAGTTGAAATTCAATCTCCATTTGCCAGTGCTTTACATACGCACAGTGTCCCCACCACAGAGCTAAGTTAATGAGAGCCTTACCTGCTTTCACTCACATCCTCCCAGCCGTCCTTACTGAGGTTCTCAAACACGTTGCTCATAACCTTGACGGAGTGATTGAGAACAGTGTGGTGGCGACCCACAGAGCACTTTTTCTTGGCGGCTTTAAATTTAACCTTGGTAGTGGTGGTCTTATAACCGTACTGTCCAGATCTCACCTCTGTCGTGGCCATCTCAGAGTTGGCTTTCTCTGCTGAATGTTGCGATTTTTCCATTGAATTCACCTCTTCGTTTTCATTTCTCAACTCATTAGCTTCTGCCACTTGTCTCCTTAGGGAAGTGACTTCTCTCTCCAGCTCACTGATTTTCACTTGAAGTTCTGTTTTCTCTTTTTCTACCTCTTTACTCCCCTTCAGTATCTGTTCTAGCTTTTTTTGTCTGGTTTCTGCATCTTCTTGGTGCTGTTTTAAGAGGGATTTCAGGAAATCATTTTCTTTCATTAATTTTTTATTCCGTTCTTTTAATTTTCTCGAGCTTTTCTCAAAAGATTTTAGCCGATTTTCCAATTCAATTACCTAAATAAAGGAGTTGAATTTATTACTTTAAAAATCCAAAGCCTTAATCTGTTGTATTTTTATTTATTATTTTTCTAGCTTATGAAAATAAAATTACATTTACCACAAGGACAAAAACTGAAAATACTTAATTTCTAAATAATTCCAAGATGGTGCAGATGAATACATTATAAAATGCAATAATACATCTATTGAATAAAGGAAAGATGGTAAATGAATTAAAATTATACACAAAGCAACACAGAACTCTAAGTATGCTAATAAACTCTGCAGAGTTTTCTGGGATCATAACTGTTTTGGCTATATACTCTATTCATTGTGAAAAAATATTTTCAGAGAACAACAATTTACACAAAATGTCTAAAAATAGATACCTAAAGAAACTATATTAATAAAATAAATTTTCTTCAATATTCAATAATCATATGAAAAACTGATATATACAATCTATTGAGGCTGCTTTTTTCTAAATTAGAAAAATGTAATTTTAGTAACCATGTGGTTCTTAGTTTAAACAATAAAGGAACTTTTTACCAAAAAAACAAAAAGGTTTAGCAATTTCTAATTACAACAATTTCAAGGTTTCCTATACATTAACATGTTTAATTTAATTCAATAAACAATGTCCGTGTACAGGTCATAGAAATGGTAACATACAATACTTGACATTAAGGAATTTCAGAAATTATTTGGAAGGACATACATCTGCATAAATAAATCTAGTAAAGGATATGCTCTAAGTACCATAAGTCTGAGCACCAAGGAAAGGGGAATTAATTCTAACACCAGAAGTACAAAAGTTTCATGGAGGACTTGACATTTGATTCAGGCCTTCAACAACAACAACTACAACTACTGTTTGTAAAGTATATCTTCGCATTTACAAAATAGTTCCATAAAGATGATCTTTTTTAATCACCTTAAAAACCTGTGTAGTAAGTACAGCCAATAATTATCTCGCCAGAAGCGGAAATGGATGCTCTGAAAACTTAAATACCACATAGATTTAAACCTTTCCTGGTTTGAGCTGGGATTCAAATTCAGAATTTTGTGCCCCTCCCACTATTCCACAGGCCATTTGAGGAAGAAGATTTATCCAGATATACACAGAACATGAATAAAGAACTGGGTCAAGAAAGAAAATACAAAGAATGTTCAATTATTGTGAAATAAGGGAATTTTTTTTGTTTTACTGGTTTGCAATGGATTTACAAATATATGTATATAAAGTAACAGCAAAAGTAGCTTCATCTTTACATGTAATTTTGAGCTCCCCCAATAAAAGTCAAGTATAACCTGAAATAAACTATCAAGAGAAATGCATTTATCAAAATATTTTCAGAAGAATTAAAATTTATACATAACAAGAGGAATAAAAAATAGTTCTAATGTATCTACCTGTAAAGGACTGAAAAACTATATGTGTTAAAATATTTACTTTTAAAACAAAATTCTTTAAAGAAGGAAACACTTTTGAAGTATTGACAACCAATGATATAAAACCAAAGCAGTGCAGAAATATATAAGATAAAACTTCTGCATATTCTTAACACCTTCCAGATTACAGAGAGGATTATTTATGATGACGAAGATGCAAGTTGTTTCCAAAATTTAAATTTAAGTCAACTCTGATTTACCTAACCATCTCGCCTACTCTTCTTGTGAGTCCAAGCCCTTCATTTAATTCAACAGTTATTTACTGATTGGCTGTCCTGTCCTGGGGACAGGGATATTCCCCCAACACACTATGAAGAACTGCACCTAATTTCAATCACTTCTATCTTACAGTATGATATACTCATCTACAATCGAACCCATGGAGCTCTGGTGGTGCAGTGGTTAAAAGCTATGGCTGCTAACCATAAGGTCAGCTGTTTGAATCCAGCAGCCGTCCTTGGAAACCCTATGGGGCAGTTCTACTCTGTCCTATAGGGTCGCTATGAGTCGGAATCGACTCGACGGCAACAGGTTTGGTTGGGTTTGGATTGGAGCTATGTTCTCAAATGGCCTACTCTTAGACTAGAGTAGAGGTATATTAAAAAGTTTGTACCAGAGTATTGCAGTCCCTGGAAAATGATACGGCGCTTCCTCAGAAAGCTAGAAATAGACATACCATTCGATCCAGCAATCCCACTCCTAGGAATATATTCCTAGAGAAATAAGAGTCATCACTCGAATAGACATATGCACACCTATGTTTACGGCAGCATTGTTCACAATAGCAAAACGATGGAAACAACCTGGATGCCCATCAACAGATGAATGGATAAACAAACCA